TAAATGAATGAATAAAAATATAATGTATATTTAAAAATATATATGTATATATATAAATAATTTAAATATTAAATATTGAATTCACATTAATAAAACTCAAATAATTCTGAACATTATATTTAATTAATATTTATAAAAAATTATGTAAATTTGCAATGAAAAAACTAATAATTAATTTTTATAAATTTATAAAATAATATTATTTATATTTATTTATATATTTTATAATTTATTAATGATATTTTTAATATTATATGTGACATTAATTGATTTTGTCCAAAAACCTAGCTAAAGATTTTATACTTTATATGCATATTTTGAATGTATGCTTGCCTAAAGTTTTATTCTATTACTTTTATCTTATGCACATTGAGATTAAAATAATCTAGCTTAAATTATTGGTTTTTAAAGACAAAAATAATTTATTTTATCAATATCAAAATCCTAAAGTCTTCTTGTGTTGAATTTGGAATCAAATTGCTCTTAGTAGTTAACATAATTTTTACTATTTATTATAATAAAATAAATTTTTGCTATTATTAAGTGGTTATTTCAAATATTTTGATAGTTGAGAATGAATATAAGATCATGTAAAACATTAATTGTTCTTCAATACATAAGAGACTTTTTATGTAATGATGTCTATATATTTACTTACAAAAAAAAAAATATTACAAGAGATTAATTAATATTATTTATTGATTAATGAAACTTATTTGAAGATTTTTAGATTTTATTTTTATTTTTATTTTTAAATTCAACATAAATAAAAAATATCTTAAAATTATATAAATAAATTTTAATCACTATCTTTCTATTAAAAGGATGATTTTTTTTTCTTAATGAATAATAACATGTTTTAAAAAATATTCAAAATCAAAATGACTTTCAGGTTTAATACTAGTGAAGAAGTAAATTTACATATTTTTTGTTTATTAAATGTTTTTACACATTCATAATAACTCACTTCTACTATTCCAAAAGATGTACTCTAATATTTCACGTAGAATTCATTATAAATCATGTAGAAATTAGTAAAAATTACATAGATGTCATAGATCTCATTTATTTATGTTAGATTTTAGATTTTTGTTTTGGTATAAAAATTACTTCTTACAAAAAAAAATTAATAAATAAAGATCTTTAAATATAAAAAATATTATTTTTAATACATAAATCAATATTTTTTATTTACAAATTACTAGTTTATTTATTTTTTGGATTTAAATTATAACATTTTATCATAAATATTAATTTTATTTAATTTTTTCAAATTTATTATTTTAAAATATATATTTTTGAATATAATAACATTAAATATCCAAATTATAATATGTATTTATATTTAAATTATGTACCTAGAAGAATAAAATAAAAATAAAAATAAAAATAAAAACATATATATATATTATTTATTTCTAAGAAAATACATAGATGAAAATATTTTTATAAAAATTTATAATATATATTTTATTTATTTATTTATTTATTTAGATTAAATATAGATATATCTAACTCATGACTTATTTTTAATAGATGGAAATTTAGTATTTAAAAAGTATGTTGGTTGGAATAATATTATATTTATTTATTACAAAGACAAATTAGATTTTTTTTTCTATTAGAAAATATTTTGTTGAATAAAGACCCCAAGTTTAAAAGATCTATCCATTGCCGATTTTTGCACTGCCAGCAATCCTAGCCACTTAGTATTTGACATATGTCCTTCTACAAACTATGTCACCTTAATAAATGTTGCCTTCCAAGTGCCCAGGCTAAATTTTATTATGAACAAGTCAAACAAGTCAATCATAAAAATTACACCAATGAAAAAGAACAACCAATTGACCTTCTTTATGATCTTTCAAAATAATACATCTTTCAAGGTCTATTGTTCTACCATAAATATTTGCTAATGCTAAAAAAAATGAATTTGCCATACATATATAGCTATCTACTTAATACGCAAAGACCTGCAACAAAAAAAAATTAAGAACTTGGGATTTATTCGATTTGCTCCTACTAGCAGGTATGTAATGTCTATGGGCATGAATTTGCTTCAAATATAATCTAATATACTTTTTGATAGATTCTCATATACAAAGTGAAATGTTATTGTAAATTTCAATTGAATATCTCATATCTAAAAAATGTTACTTTATTACATTTGAATGTGCCTTGAACAACAACACTTTGCATGAATTTTATAATTAGTTGGTATTTGTATCATTTTAACATCACAAAAATTAGCACTCAAAGGAATAAGATTATGAGTCTACCATGCCAAAAAAAATCAATACAATAATAAATGATGAAGTAAGCTTAAGCATTAATATTGGAAAAGAAAGCATATTAGAATTGCAATTAGACGTAGAAGTGGCAATGCCAAAATTCATAAGAAGCAAGCATTTCAACATGCAAAAAGAAAGGCCCCTACTTAATTTAAATTTCTTCTAATAATAAACTTAAGTAGGTATATACGTAATATTTTTAAAAATTAATTAATATATTTAAAATTTTGAGATTAGAAATTACTAAATATATAAATATTTTTTACATCATACTTATTTTTGGAAAAAAATATAAATATTAACAATATCAATTAATCTTTGTGAGTTTTAAATCCAAAAAAGGTGAAACTATAATATTTTATATTATATATATTTTATATTATATATATTTTATATTATATATATTTTTATATTATATATATTTTTATAATAAAAACATATATATATATATATATATATATATATATAAACACAAACAAGTAATAGCAATTTCATATCTTATTTACTACAAAAATTAATCCAAGAATTTATATTTTGAAATCATATCTTATGTAATAAAAAAAAAATTGATATCATTTCTTATATAAAATAGCTAAGGGAATAAACCAACAAATATATCAAATAGACAAACTAGAGAAGACAAAAATCATCTTCAATTGATTGCATATTTTATTGTTCTCATCCAAAGTGAAGCAAAAGTAAAAGCAATAACTCAACTTTTGATCAATTAGAGATCAAAATCTGCATGTTGGTGTTATAGATTATTAAGAATAGATTGCAAGATCACCATGCATTGAGCTCCAAAGCTCCCAATTGTAGTTTTTAGTAAATATTTTTTTGTGGCCAATAACATAGATTTTCACTAATAACAAATAACTTAGCTATATATTTTTGAATCTCTTTTGTGTACACATTTTTATACAAATGAAATAAACATGTACATATGTATGTATGAAAAAATTTGTATCATAAATTTTATTTAAACCTGTCATAATGATAAGATTGTTCTATTTTTTTCACATACCATTTTTTTTAATATAAAAATTAAAAATAAGTAATAAAATTATTTTATTTTTATTTATATAAATTTCTATTTTTTATAAAATCATCATAGAAATTATACACATGTTGATTAGTATGTATAATTTTATAAGTATGTAAACTATGTATATATATATATATATATATATATATTAATCATCATATACAAAAAATTATATATAATATTTTATGTATAAATTATGTAAACATATTAAAATTTTACTAAATAAACATATTTTTATTGTAACATATTTGATTCTAATTAATTACTTTTTACAATAAATGTTCAATAACACACCTAAAGATGAAATATGTTTCAATGAATTGATTAACTGAGTAAAATAATAAAGTAAGTATTTTATTTTTACTAAGTGTAATATAATAATTTTATACTACCTTTGGCACATCCATCTATTTCATCTTTCATACATTTTTATTTGTTTGATATTCCCATATTCCTTGGTTCTCCTATTCCATAATTTCTTCATTCTCATGTTCCTTGATTCCCATATTTTTTTTCATGTTTCTCAAGTTCCTTTGCATTGCCTTCTTCATGGCCAGTTGGAAGACTTCTTTGTCTCTTTGTGTTATACACAAGTTGTCTTTTATATATATATATATATATATATATATATAATTTTATTGCAACTTTTCTTTGCAAGTGAAACATTTCTTAGATTTCAATAATCCCATGGCGTTTGGAGGTGGTAAGTCCTCTGGATCATATAAATACACACCAAGAACCTCAGCATTATCTCAAAGCAAAGTGCTAAGCACAGAGCAACTTATTTCTTGGGTTTTCACCAACGAGTATTGTGCGCTGTGTAGGCATTCTGGCATACCCTTATTCCTGGAAAGCCCCTTCAGGAGCTCATTTAATACAAATCCAAACTGAAGTTCATTTCTACCACCCTCCTCGTCCATCTAAATTTAAAAGACTACAGGTACTTAGAGCCTAGGCGAGGTGAGGGGCAATCCACTCATACCACTGAAATCAGACCAGTATGTTTGGTGTGATTAAGATTCTGAGAATTTATTTGTTTCGTTTTCACAAATGGGATACCCAATTGTGTGGTTTAAAAGTTGAAGAATGCTTTTTACGATTTGCTTATCACTTCGTAGTATTATATAGAATGAAAACCATGCTGGTTCAGAAAAATGTAGAGTTTTGAGGAATTTAAACGTCGCAGAAGCTGTCTTTTTAAAAATAAAATTATTCACAGAATGGCAGTGATTTTTTTTTGTTCTATTGATTTTTTAATTTTGTAATTTAATTTAATTTAGTGCGAGTGAACTCCATGAGGCATGAGCCATGCAATAGAATTGCCCAAATAAAAATCATCCATAAATGGCCAACCATCCATCCATCCATCCACGTTCCCAAGCACCAAAGCACGAAAGGGGGGGCGTTCCCATGAACCCCAAACGGGAACCCATTCGAACCCGCACCCGGTCGTTCTTTCTACCCAGCCCGTCTCGACGGCGCTCAGCCCGCTCCCCATTGTCGACCAATGAGGACCTTCCGCGGCATATACCCTAGGGCATTCAATTATTTTGGCCTCCGATAGGGACAGAGTGTTTTAGCAGTATCTAACAGGGTATCAACCGAGGCACGGGGGTGGGGGGGGGGGCATCAGCGATCCCAGGACCGACCGCAAAGGAAGAGACGGCGATGGTGTGATCAAGTGGGCGAAGCAATTGTTTGCTCAACTTTGCTGCTCGATTTTGCTGCTGCGACTGGCCATGCGCGTGCAATTTCGTGTAAGAATTTGTCGTTCCTGGAGGTCGTTAACCCCAATGGCTTGGTCAAGCAGTTGGTGGAACAAAGCGCAACGCGAGGCGTGGAGTAATGGCGTAACAGGAGGACTCACAGTGATGGGGAGGGATGGCTCGGGGAGTTTCTAAGCCCAGGGAGGTTGGGTTGCCCGGAGTGGGAGTTTTCCAGGGGAGGATGGTGGTGGTTGTGGCTGTGGTAGTTCGGAGGAAGAGGAGGGAAACGAGCCAAGAGATGATGCATTTGGAGGTGAATGTGGCGCTACCGTGTCGGGGTTAAGTGTCTCGGAGAGGCGAAACCTTTTGATGTGATGCCGGGGTTTGATTGAATGGTAACTGAGCGCGTGGGCGATTTTGGATGTTTAAGGCGGTTGGAATGATATGAGGCGGCTGTAGGTCGAAATTGTGAGGCATCCTAGCTATTTCTCTTCATGTCCGAGTTTCTTTCTAGGATCAAGGCTCGCCTTGAGTCAGGCCAGCATTACAACAGCAGTTCTTCTGAAGAGACAGGTATTTGGTTGGTCATTCAGGCGCTTGGTTGCCTCGTCCTCTTCCCCTGTATTTATTCTGATTTGTCTGTTTGGGTGTTGGAAGAGGTTGTGTCTTTTGATGTGTGGATGTTCTTGTGTAATCTTCGAGATGCGCAGCTTTGGTTTCCGTATTCTAGGTCGTGGCTTAAGGTGTAGGGGATGCATATTTAGCTCTAAGGTTGCGTCATTTGATCTCGATTTGCAGTCTTATATGTGGCATAGACTAGTCAGCTACCGTCGACTGTGCTTTTTGTAGCGCAGGAATGTCCACTTTGTTGGAATGTATGGACTGTCTTCTCTGTGCTGAAATAACATGACGATCTGGTAGCAACTTCCCATCATGTATCGTTTCTCTGTAATTTTCACATTCCTTCGTCTTGGTGCAGAGTTAGGTTTAGGTTGTGGGTCATTAGTCGTCGATTGATATATAATTTGTTCATATCTCTGCTTTAAGGCTTCAGGGTTGTGGATTTTTAGGGTTAAGCGTTCTGCTTTTAGTCGAAGCCATTGTATCAGATCAATACATGAGGTTTGATTCTTGCGTATTTTTTGGAGCTTAGGGTTTGAATTGCTTGTTGATGCCTACAATGTTATTTTCAGCTAGTAATATTTGTATCTGATTACTAGTAATCTTTGATTGAAGCAGGATGGGTGAGAGCAGCTTTGGCGAACGCGGACAAAGTGAGTACTTTTATTCAGAAAGAAGTCTTAGAGATACCTTCTGCGGTTTTGTCGAAATATAATTTTTATCAGAAAGTGTAGAATGCTGATTTGGTATCAGTTCATATGACTTCGAATGAACGTAATCCCACCAACGGCTGTTGTCGTTTCAGCCGCAAAATTTAACTCCTACTTAACGGTGGTTAGTCATTTTCGTGCTGTATTTTTTGGAAACATGTCTTGCTCAGATAGATTTTTATACGGGTTTGGGAAACTTGACCATGTTGCTCTGATTCGAGATTTTGTTCACACGTTTCTGGTGTTCTGTGTTTCAACAGGAAGAACCTGCAGGGTCGTCCGAAGGCGGGCAAGATGGAGGAGAAGGTTCGGGGCTCTATTCCGAGTGGCAGGCGGAGTTGGTGAAAAAAATGAAAGGAGTGGGAATTGGATCTGCTGAGAGATTCCCTGCCTTAACCAAGTCCAGGAGCAGTCCTGCTCTTGGAAGTCTATCCTCCAGAGATGCTTCTCAAACTCTGTGGGAATGCAAGGTTCTGGATCACAAGATGCCCGACGGGTTTTACTCTGTAATACCTGTACGTGAGGCTTTCTTCCAACTTTTACTGCATAGTTTTTTGTTAAGTCCACTTCAGTGCATGGACGCGAGTTTTCTCGGCGTTGTATTTGGTGACTCCAAGGATTTCTAATCCGGTATTTTCGAAGTAGAGAGCTCATGTGTACATCTAACGCCAGAGATTACTGATCTTTATCGAGTAGAACAATTTGTTACTCTTTTTGTTAAGGCTTTCAGGTATCATTAGGTTTTGTTAGGTTTGTGTGGGGGAAGGTGGAATAGCAACTGGCGATAAGCTGATGGTGAGGGTAGCTGAGTTCTCTGATGGTGTGATCCAGGCTTCAAGTTGGGTTATTACGACCTCTTATGTGACTTAGTTGTCGAAATGGAACAAGTTTTAGATGCATGAGTAATGCATTGGAACAGGTAGAGCCATGTGACATGGAAATTGTGGTATCATCATTCATCAATTTTTTCCCTGGTCATCTTTCTAAGACTGGATCAATCCTTGGCAGAGTCGAAGTTTGAGGGCACGCTTTCGAAACATTCCAACCTTGAACGACCTGCAGCTACTGGGGCCGATGTCGCTTGGATTGGATGTGTTGCTTGTTGATACGAGAAAGGATAAAAACCTAGTAAAGCTGCAGGATCTAGCTCGTGTAATGGTAAAAGGGATAGGAATCAATATTCCTGCTATGATCAAGAAAATCGCTGAACTGGTGAGGTTTCTGGCACTTGCAACTTGGAAATATCTCAATTGTTGTCGTTTGGTTCTTAGTGTATCATGGAAGGCATATTACAAACGACTAGTACCTGCTAATAAGTGCCTGTGGGGTGTGCTATCAGGTAGCTGACTTCTATGGTGGACCGCTTTTTGAGGCGGCTTCCATGAAGTCTACAGGTGACGATTACAATGGTGCAGGAGAAAGTGGCATTGTGCGGTTGTTGGGAGATGTAAAACAAGGCTTGTGTCGACCGCGAGCCATCCTCTTCAAATTTCTTGGAGATTCTGTTGGACTTCAAAGTCGCCTTTTGATGGTATGTCCGAACAAGCTTCTCTTCGTCTTTTCTACATGCCACTAGTTGTTTGATGAGCTGAATTTACTATTACTGTCGTGCAGTGTACTGATCAATAACAAGTTTGTTATCGATGGCTGCATTAACAGGGCTTACAGTGGGAAGCTATACCAAGTAGCTCTTTGACTTGTGCGAATTCAAATAAGCACCTGACTAATATAGTTACTGTAAATGGCATCGACCTTTTGGTGGATGTGATGCGACATCCGGGCTACCTACGTCCTTTCTCGCGGAAAGCATTAGTCATGTATCACATAGCTGGGGCAGGGGACAGTGATTCTGCTGATTATGATTCATGTGACTCTCCTTTGGAGCCAAATAGCCCACTTTATGGCTTTCCTGACAAGTTGGATCATGAAATGTTAGTTTCGCACCTATAAATGTTGTCTGTTATGCATTTTGTGCTTTGATTTTGTACATAGATTTCGATGAGTATGTCTTCGAGAACGTCAAACTTGAAATAATAGCTACTCTATCTTACAGTGAGATAACTTGTGAGAGTTATTTTGTGGGTTTTCCAGCTTGGAGGAGGACATGGATCTTGTTCGTCCCCCATATCCACGAAGAGGGCTGACTGCCGCTGCCGCATCTGGGTTCAATCCAGTTCTTAGAATCCCTGCAAAATTAAGGTGTGCCTAGATTCGGGGATCCGAACACTCTTGTCACATGCATAAGCGTTGGAAATGATTGTTGATACGTGGTTATGCTAGTTAAATCTCATTTACCATCCTGCACTGCTGGCCCCGCGCTTGAAGTAGATGAAGGTTAGCTGTCTTGATTATACATGTTCTTTTTCAATGGACTTGTGTTCTTTGTAATAAGGCTACACACCAATGCATCATTCGACAGGTGCTCAAGCACGCCTGTATTAGATGCAGGTGCATATGCGTCCCGTCTCATTCAAGTGCCTTGAACTTGTGTGTCGACCTCACACAAGCTTTGAAAGTGTTAATGCAGCCCATCTCAGAGTGAACCAGATCTAGCTAATCCTCGTCGACGCAATCGACGACGAGCTCTTGAGGAGCAGACTACTGTTCTTAGGTTAGTTCCTTGAGACTCTTAAAGACTGCACATGATCTTGGGATGCTGTCACGAACCATCAAGAGACGCGTAATGATGTCGCTATCACCATGATGACCATTATCTACGAACTGCCACAATAGTCATTTTTACCAGATCACAGATGTGGACTATTTTGTAGAATTAAGTTGATTGGTGTTTTCAATTTTAGATTATGATACGGTAAGCAGGTTATGATTACAAATGATACTCATAGAACAATCTGCCCGATATGATTTGGAAAGTGGAATACGGAGAATATACCCAGAAAGTTCTGTGTTTATTCAGTAAAAGCGGATAGGTTGTGGTTTTAACTTTCTTATCCTGATATTGCCAGTCCTCAACATGGTGTGGAAGATCAGCTAGAGCAAAGAAAATCTAGCACGGAGGGAATTCGAAGTTTTCCTTCCAGGTACACTTTCGTAGTAAGATCCTGGAAACGTTTTGCCCCGTGTACGTATGTTTGTTTCCTCATTTGGATGCTTGCCTTTCTTACGAATCATTTTGTAGTAATTTTAACACCTTATTTTTATGTACGAGTAACAGTCCAGAGCACGTGCAAACTCGCTTACGTCCGTCGCAGCGAGTTGGATCAGAAGAGGGAAGTGTCCCCAGGTTAGATATCTAGTTGAACTTCGCCATACATGCTGATGTGTCTTAAATAACGAAGTACAGCCAACTTTTCACACCTAGAAAGTGCGAAAGATGGCTTTTCTTAGCGAATCACAGATCTGCTCAAGTTCAGTTATAGTCTAATGACTGAATTGAGTCGTACATCACATTAATGAGAAGTTCTCGTATCTCAAGTTGCTGGAGAAGGCTTACTCGCTGGCTTTATCTCAAATTATCATGCTTTGAACTTGTGTTTCTGATTATGTAGTTGTTCTTTGTTAATTCAGCAGTCCTGAATATCCTGTATTCAGACCTCGTGTTCACTCCATGCTTAGCGGGAGTCGGCTTCATGGAGGAGATACTACCTCTAGGTACTTTGTAGTCTATTCAGTTTTGTTTCACCTTGTGATATGCCGCTGGATCCGAATTATGATAGATTATGTGAAGAATTTCAGTCTGCAATTCAGTTACTAGTCAGCATGTAAAGCTTTCATATTGTTTACTGTGAAGTATCTGTATTTTTACATTTGAATTTTAGTTCCACAATTAAGAAAAAAATGGCTTTATTTTATTAAGTCTTGTCTGGAATTTGTTTTTGAAGAATTATCACCTTTACTTATTTTCTTGATTTCTGCCACCTTAGTGTTTATGCAACTATTTTATATACTTGTTATTAACATGACTCTTAAGCCATGTGAATTTATAGAAACCTGTTTTGTGGTGTGAACAAATCGAGGTAGTGGGTTCATATGCTAGTTTGACAGAAAAAGTCCAGTAGCTAGGTACCTGTGATGGCTTATTATTTACCTCAATGAGGTAATCACAAACCTTCATTTCAAAGGATTAAATCTATGTAATCCAGATGGGTCGCCGCCGTATTCCAGCATGGTTGAAAAACACCTCGCCCTTGATCGGGAGGTAGTTAGACCTTACATTGAGTACCAGAGCAAGATCTTTGTTTTACGAGTCATACATGTGGAAAGTCCATCAGCTGCAGATCTTGCATTATGTAATGGTCAGATCGACTGACGCTAATGGATCATGCCTGTACTTGCATGATGTACACTCCTAATGGATGTCAACGAACGGAGAAAATGACACTGATAGTTTTTCTAACAGAATAGGATATTTGTTGCAGGCGGGAAAGGGCGTTATCTGTTGATATAAGGCACGACACAAGGGGGATGGACTTTCTTCAATACATGGGAGATTCCTCATTGTCAAAGTGAATACCCTTAAATACTACTAAAATATTCAGGATGTTTTGTTTTTGAGTAATCCGTGTGCGGATGGCCTTGATGCTATGAGCACGAGACATGAATATTAACGTGCTGTCTTGGTTTAAGTTCATCTGTAATTTTTTTCAACCTAATTGCACTGTTTCATTAATTGTACATTTCTTGGGAGGAGGGTGTTCTTCAATGAGTATTTTCTTGCGGTTAAATTTTCTTTCTTATCTGTTTACGCTTATTGTTTTCAGAATTGGTTGATGTCCATCTCAGAATTTCACTTTTCATTTACAGGTTAAGTCATAATCCACACGCGGAAATGCGAAGGGCCAGGAAACGGACCGTGGCACCCGAGGTCAGCGACGAGGTTGTCAGGTGGCGTCTTTACCTTAGTTTTAAAATGTAGATACAGTGAGGCTTGTTTTCAAACTGTCGTCTGATTATGGATTAGGAGCAGTTAAATGCGGGAAATAAATGTGGTTTACGGGTACTTTTTGAGCCTTTTTGCGTTTGGGATCATATTCTGTATTAACCTGTTGTACAATGTGTGACACTGATTGTTAGAGCGCAAGAAATGTATAAAATAGCTTATGTAACGGTCATTCGTTTGCATTCTCAGGGCGGTAAGAGCGATGAACGAAGCTCTCAAGCAAGAGCGATTTCGAACAAAAGAGCGGGAGCCTGATGCTTCCACTTCTGATGGTCACATGTTGAATTCTAGTGAAGGGAGCAGATTGGTATGCTCCTCTCCATAATCTTGATGGACATTTTATTAAGAGGTCTTGAAATTTTTTCCAGTTGTGTTTGTAGCTTACATCCTTCTTCCAAATGTCAAACGGTTCGGAGCAAGTGGTTGCGGTCAAACGCAGTAGTAATCGGTCTTGCTGAAGGACTCAAGATTCATCTATTTAGTAATAGAGGTCGACAACCATTCAAACGATGGACAGGATTGTCGTCGAATTGCCAACATGTTGAATGTGCTTGTTGCCTGCACAAATTCTTTGAGTGGTCATCCGTACTCCACTTCATACTGTCAATTTTATGCGCATTTAGAAGTAGGTTGTAATTTCTTGTAGGATTGATGTGACATCTACATGTGCTCTGATTAGCTGGTAAAGCCTCGCCAACTGAGTTTTTATTTCGCTTACTTCAGGCTTCTGCAAGGTCTCTGGATTCCTGCAATACGGACGCTGATGGTTTTCAGGGACATGGGGAAATTTCTGGTTCTAGCAATCATGACCCCACTGCGCCTAGCAATCAATCTGGTGTGGCTCGTAATCATGACCGTATTACGACTGTCAATCGTGGATCTGATGCTGTGACATCCAGATTGGCCTCCAAAAGCAGTCAAGAATTTGTTTCAAGAGGATCATCTGGTTTAGTGTCAGATACAAACAGCGCATCTCCTTCTTGGTCTCTGACAATGCAGTCACCTTCCCTGCCAAGCCAGCCTCTTATGCCATTTGAAGAATGGGATATTGATTTTGCAGAGCTTCGAATTGGTGTCCGTGTTGGAATTGGTTAGTTTTCTGACCTTTAACTTGCACTATCTTTGGGGGATGAAAATCATTTGAACCGCAACGCTGAATTGTCTTTTCTTGAATCTATGACTCATTGGTAACTGCTCTGGTGTTTCAGGGTCCTTTAATATTATTAATTCTGCAATTTGGATTCCGTTCATAATATCGGTCTGTATTATATGAAGTCTTGGTGACTTTGCAGGATCCTTTGGAGAAGTATTTCGTGGCATATGGAGGGGTACGGAAGTAGCTATTAAGGTGATGCTTGAACAAGATCTAACTGATGAGAACATGCAAGACTTCTGCAATGAAATTTCATTGTTAAGGTTAGTCGCGTAGATTATCGACCTAATCAATGTTTTGCGTCCTATTTGTTTTTATTGGCATCGTTCGTTAACTTTTCCCATGCATACTGCTCAGTGATAAAAATCATGCTGATCACATGTACTGAACTTTTTTTTCATCTTCTGTTGGTGTGTTTCTCTTGCAGCCGGTTGAGACATCCGAACGGTACTTCCTATCTCATGTGTTTCAATTTTGGCTTGAAATAATTTGTCGGCTTGCTTTCTAGAATTGACATCTTGGCTAGAGAATTGTATATTTCGTGATATTTTCTGGATATCACCTGCAATTCTCATGGGGACCGTATATTTTACAGTGATATTATTTCTAGGAGCATGCACGAAGCCCCCTCATCTTTCCATGGTGACAGAGTACATGCACACGGGCTCGCTGTATCTGTTGATTCACTCTAATGAGCAGGGGAAAAAGTTAAGCTGGCGGCGCCGTTTAAAGATGCTTCGTGATATCTGCAGGTACTGTTTCGAGTTCAATTTTCAGAAGTAGTAGATAGTTGAGGTATGTTGCGTGTGCAATTGGTACATAGTGGCCGTCTGACATATACATTTTATTCTGTCTTACTCTAAAAACACCTTCTTGGTTTCAGGTATAACCAAGCATTTCGTTCTACTTGGACACTGTTTAATAGCTACTTAGGATTAACTAAGCGGTTGTCTTTTATTCTAATACCTTCTGGAATTTTATTTTATTATTCCAAGATAGGACTTAAGCTTCATATTTCTGAACTGAGGTGTGCCATTTGGTTTCAGGGGAATGATGTGTGTACAACGGATGAAAATTGTCCATCGGGATCTGAAGAGCGCTAATTGCTTGGTGGACAAGCACTGGTGTGTCAAGATTTGCGACTTTGGCTTGTCCCGAATCCTCACAGGCTCTACCTACTGTGATGACACTGCAGTGGGAACACCTGAGTGGACAGCGCCAGAGCTGTTGCGAAATGAGCCAGTCACGGACAAATGCGACGTCTTCAGCTTAGGAGTTATCATGTGGGAACTCTCTACATTGAGACGGCCGTGGGAGGGGTTTAAACCTATGCAAGTAAGTCACCCCCTTGGGTTAAGATGATTCGCTACATATTCTAGACTTTTATGCCCCTCCTTCTAAAGCATTGGCTGCTTCAGCTGGTATGCTTGATTCAAATCCCTGCAGAAATACCTTGCTCATCTTTATCCACAGAATTTAAAACCTGGCGTCTGGCTTGCGCTTAATTCTTCGAAATATTTTGATTGCTATGATGGAACAGGTAGTGAATGCCGTTGCCCATAATCAGGCTCGTTTGGAGATACCAGATGGTCTCATCGGCACACTGATTGCTGGTATGTTGCAAATTTGAAGCTTACTCTTCAAATTTAGTACAGCTGAGGTTGTTGACGATTGTTCATTACGAATGTTGTAGCAAGCCATTACGTAGTGCTGACACTAGTTCATTACAATTGGCTATTTCTAGATTGCTGGAAGGAAGACCCCGAGGCTCGTCCTAGCTACGAAGAGATCCTTACACGGCTTCATGAATGTGAGTTTCTTCAAGGCTGAAGAATAAAAGACGTCACGCTTTTAATCCAACTGGCGGCTGCTACAAAATTGTGAAGATGGAACTTCCTGCAGTATTTTTGCAACCATTAGCAGGTTTGGTCGCTTTGTAAGGCAGGTGTGACTCTCCAAGCAGTTTCTCACACGGGAATTCTTACCTTGTATCATATGTCGAGCTGGTGCATCATTCATATATTCTAGTTCATGTTGTGGCTGGGAGTAAAAACATACTACCTTATCTTCCTCCACATGAAGCATTGTTCGAGAGGACTCTGCATGTAATGTGCAATGATCACATCCGTAGTGTACATTATGTCGGTCTGTCGTCATCAGGGCAAATTGAGATATCTACGGGCTTGTTGAGATGTTCAAATCCAGGTTTTTGATGGTAGCAAACATGTTCTTATGTCTTTACCTAGCGTTGTACTTCATTCACCAAAACATATTCTGCAACATCTGAATTACTTTATACACTAAGTTTAGTATTGAATGACATGGAAAAGTTCACTCTACACTAAACCTGTGGATACTTAAACAACTTTTAAAACACTTTTAGATGGGGGTTTTGATATCACACCTGAATCATCAAAATACGATTGACAATACATAGATGTTTACTCGGTGATTATCTCCAAGGGCAAGAAAATGGAAATAAATCACCTCAACACAGCGTATTTTAAACAAACCAATTATAGTATTTGTCTGTTTTCAATAGATCTGTTGTAAATCATGTACCTTGTTATGTATATGATTATTTTTAGAGGGATACAAAGTCATTCAATTTGCTTTTAAAAAAGGTGATCATTAACAACTCAAAGTTGTATGTGTCAAATGTTTTAATCATTAACTTTACGTTTTAAATGTTGGTGATGTGGTAGATTATCTAATGAAGAAGTATGCGATGGTTATAAAAAGTAATGAATTGTTTTGAAGTTAAGCAAGACAATGTAATTTCAATGGAGTTCAATGTTTATGAATAGCAAGTTTTTTTAGATGTCTAATAAAAGTAAATTTATTTACCTTTTTGTCTAATCTAGATCAAAATCAGTACTTGTATTTAAGTAGCATTGATTGACATAATTCAGTTAAGTTAAAGATCTAAAATACAAAATAAAAATAAATTATAGTATTACAATATCACTTTAAAACTAATACTGATATAAGATTTTATCTTGATTAATATCAAAATGTGATTACTTGGATTTTAAGTGCATATTACAGGAATTAGATTTTTTTAATAACAGTTTCATTTTTTAACTAGCGAATAGTCATATGTGTTATATAATTTCATTTTTATTTTCAAGATCTATTTGAATCCATCCTAAACAATGTTACAAGTTTAAGTTGTAGGCATTACTTGTTTACTTGTCTTTCTCGTGAACACGATGTTAAAAGTATTTTTTAAAAAATCGAATATTTCAGATGTGAATTGAAAATTAAATTGTTTCTTAAACATTGTTAAACAAACCTCAATTTCCCAAGTTTCTTCTCTCTTTTTTATATCGAAAATATTGTTGTAAAATTACCTTTCACATTTATTATGTAAAATCTAACTAGCCTACGTTATCGACACCGGTATTTATCTTGATGATTGATGTTACTGATTTCAGAATAACATCCGCTACATATAGAGAATACGGGAAGGTAATTTATATTTTCTACGTCGACACCAAAAATAACAATATTCTATTTCAAACATATATCATGTTTCTTAACTACAAAATCAATTTGAACATAAATCAGAGGTATGATCGTATGTTTCCAACAACGTATGATACTATATTTAGCAGGGCATGCAGAAACTATGTAGAAATTGCGCATATCTCTAGAACTCGTTCACATTATATAAGACAAAGGAAAACTGAAACACTCAAATTTGAAGTGATTTTGTTAACTTTTCATGAAAAAAAATCTGCAAGATTTGCAAAGTCAACACCCTCACAATATCCATACAATCAAATTCCTTTCTGTACAAGCTTTCAACGTTTCCTTCATGGAAGTCGATCATCATCTCTACATCGTAAAAAACTTTTCATGGGAACACACATTCATTACGTAAACTTTCTTTCTGTTCGCTTCCAAGTATCTTGCCCTAAACGCACTGAGAGTCTGAGTATCCATCACGTTCCCCATTAGATTCTGAATTGTTAACCACATTCAACGAGGCAGATTTAGACGAGATCAAAGACCCTAGAGCTTGACCATCAGATTGACCGGTCGATATCATCAAAATCAACATTGCGAGGGATTGTAAGGTCACCCAGACAAAATGATAGACTATGATGGCTCGTCTTTCAACTTGACTACAAACTCCTTGCAACAATCGTAACCTTCCCTTGACAGAAGCGATTCGGAAAATCCAAGGATATGGGAGTCTTATGTAATTCCTCACGGAGCATTGGTGTAGAAAGACAATTAAACGCTTTTGTCCTAGTGAAAATTCCTCAAACAACTAAGAGAAAACACATTCTGAAATATTTATTTTCCCGTATATCTACATTGACAATGACCAGACCGTCAAAGAAGAATCCTAGCAAAACCTCATTGCAACAACTGTTAACCAAAACCTGTTGCCTCCAAATCACTACACAAGATCCTTGCTCAATTTAGCACGTGAAACTAATCTATACGATAACATCCCACAGCACACAGCTCAAATGTCATCCTTAGGTCCACCCTCCACCCTACAACTACACGAATAAATGACATAATGTTCCTGAAAGTCACACAAGGCAATGCCATGCCAATAATCAGCGACGAGGACTGCAAGCCGCCTTTCCATTCCAGTTCACAAAGCGATTGGGAAAACATCGCATCTTTAGAAATATTGAAATTCTCAAACCTCCATCTCAAATAAAGTCAAACATCAAAATTGATCTGCCCTCACAACAAACGCAAACCCTACAGACAAAATCAACACAAACACACAATCCCCCTCACATCACAACACATATAGATCAAATCAACGGCACCAAGCTTACACGACATCGTCAGCAACCACATGTGAACACACCGCCACTCGCGAAACCAATCTTCCAGATCCCTCCCTAACGAGTCGCCAAACAAACCCTTGTTCACATCGCTCTAACTCATCAAAACCACCGGCAAATCCACACACCCCCACACGATCATGGAAACTAACAGATAAAAACTAGTCACGGATTGATCCAAAGCCGACCCACAATCAGCGCCAATAATCTGAGTGAGTAAGGGAGTAAGAGAGTGGCACACAACATCAAGCGGGAGCAAGAGCTCCACGACCAGACTTCACAACACGAACACAATTCAACACAACACTAATCCGGTTCCGAAGGGAAGGGGGTTTATGCTCGAATTCAGTTTAGAGGGCTGGACGGGATTGAGAACCGTGAATCCGGGTATGGAAGTGGCAGCAGCGCGGGGTATGGCGGACGTTTCGGAGGCAGCTTTGAATAAAGTGGGTATGTCGTGTAACGAACCCGGATTTGCTTTGAAGAAGCCCCTCATTCAAGACCCCGGGTGGGGGGGGGGGATCTTTCTAGGGTGGTCTCTCTCTCTCGCTGCCCCTTTCTTTGCATGCCACCCTTCGCCGTGTCTTTTCTTTCTTCCCTTTCTTTTACTCCTCTTTCTTTTTCTTTTCCTCTTTCTTTCCCCCGTGCTGCCCCCATCGAGTGTGGCCACGTCACGACGGAACGAACCGTCTTGGTTGAGAGCGACGCTGCCTCTTTTGCCTCCTCCTTCGCTCGTTCCCTTTCACGTTCCTCATCTCGTGAACGGTTCCCCATCTTGTGTCGAAGCTTGCTTTGCCCTTTTCAAGGTCGCGCATCGGAAACTCAACGCTTCAAATTAAATCCCTCCCTTCGTCGATATACATTCATCCTTGTATTGTTTCGTTCCTCCGTTCGTTCGTTCGTTTGTTTCGTTCGATCAGATGTACACATGAGACTACTTCATTTCTAAATATATCAATGGGTTCTATTTCTTCACGAACGAAGCATTTATTATTCACATTAACTTTCACACAAAAATGTAGGTATGTATGTAGGTATATGTATATGTATATGTATCGAGAGAGAGAGAGAGAGAGAGTTTTACGTGCCTTCTGCGTTCAGGTCACGTTTGCCTAAGCAACATTCCTTCTTGTAGGTCTTATGATATACCGATGTATATATATTTATATATATAGTTTTGTAGATGGCTTGATTTTTCAATAATTCAATCTCTTCCTTTATAGTAACATTTGATTCCATTATCATGAATCTTTCATGAGTATTCCAGCACGGATGTCAGCTTTAAGCTCTGTATATTGGAATGTTTTTCATTAACATTTTAGCATGTAATGCATCATATAGTTATATTTCAAAACAAAAACAGTTTATGCTGATAGAACTCTGTTTGGAAAAATAAAAATAAAAACCCTCCATCCATTGTGAAAATTATAGTTTTTTGCTCAAGTAAAGTTTAAAATACATCTGTGAACACAAACATGTTTGAAAGTTTATAATTTGCAATGGACATCTCTTAAATTTACTAAATAAAACAATGTTCATCAATAACAAAACTATTTTGAAACAGAACTACAAGAAAACAGTAATTCAAAAAATAAAAAAAAAGTTTACCAGAGCTATTCAAATTATAATTTTGAACGGAACACACAATTTACCGTCAAAGTTATAAACACATGGATTAATGTTTTGGTGTGATCATTAAACACAGCCACATAACTAACATTTTTTCCCCCTAAACTATAAAAAAATCCCACTCATACAGCCAGATTAAATTAAGAATCAGTTGGTACAGAATCCTAGTGTATTACTAGCATAAATATTGATGTAATTATCCTCACTGAGAGAAAAAGGGGGAAAAAATTAAAATAATGTTACAAACACCACCAATCTCTACACAATGAAATTTAGTTTCAAAGTGAGACCAAGTTTTGCTTTAATATTACTTTTTCCCTAACCCGGGAAGTAAAAGATAAAACGAAATTTACAACACGAGAAAGAAATCGAAGATTTTTTTAGCAACTGATAAGCCAAAGAGGCGCGTGACTATACAGACGCACTTAGGCCGTAAGATTTCACGGAGTTATTAGGACACCACGGCGAACGGCGCTCAACCGCACGCTGCAGTGAGGGAGGGGAGGGTAGAGAAACTCGTCGTCTTTTCGAGGCAGTAGTAAGTCGCGCTGCTCCCTCTTCTCTTCCCTTAAGCCTGAAGTTACGTTGTTCTCCGACGATCGATCGCAGTAGTAGGTTCTAGATGGTCTCGGCCCCCATTCCCGGGGGTGACCCGCGATAGGAGTCGCGGTAGGCCTCGCGCAGCAGCAGCAGCGCGGGTTGCTGCCAGTGCAGGTGTGAGGGCGGGACGAAGCCGGGCCGGGCCGGGCTGGGCTCGGGGTCGGGCGGGTCCCTGGAGGTGGCATAGGAAATTTGAAGAGAGGAGAGGAGAGAGGGTAGCGGGGGAGGGGGTCGAGAGACCCGGCCCGGCCCGGCCCAGCCCGGGGAGAGGGCATGGCGTGGCTGCTGCTGCTCACCGTTGTTGGGCTGGGATCCAACCCCGCCTCTTCTTCTCTCTCTTCTCTGTTGGACACTGGTGATGTCGTAGCCCCCGAGGGGTCTGTTTTTGCCTTCATGTTGTCGACGCTGGTGCGTAGCGGCGCATTTTCCTACACTGGCTTGCAACGTTCTCCCGTGGAGGGAGTTCGTAGAAAGGTTTTTGTTCCGTAGAGCCGCTTTTAGGGATTTTTTTCTAAATTTATTTCCTACTTTTGCTTGCCGATTTCAAGGCGCTCCGTGATTATGCGCAGCGCGGTGCTGGTAAGTTTCTTTTCGAGCTTGGATTTGAGAGGGAGAAACGGGTGCGTGTTCCTCTCCTGTGGTCGTAGGGAGATTAGTGCGAGCGATCGAGCGTGTCCCCGGGGTGGCGACGCGCCGGACGGGCCGTGGTAGGTGGCAGAGGTGGCGGAGAGAGAGAGAGAGAGAGCGTGCCGTGCAAGGAGACTGGTGTGCTGATGTGCTATTGTGGTGTGTGTGTGTGCTCGGGCGATTTTGTGTAGGAAGTGGGAGATCGGTTCGGTGCGGGTGTCATGCGAGGGAGGAGGTTGCATGTGGACGACTTGGTGCGGCGGGAGAATAACGGACGGGGTAGATGGTCATTCATAGGCAGGATTAGCAGTTGCGTTAGCCGGGGCGGTGGCTGTGAGGAGGAGGACAGAGATGGTCGGGGCGGGTTGAGGCAGGTTATGGCAGCCTTTCGAAATGTTGGCAGGCGCTAAGCATGGGACTTGCGCTTCGAGCCTGAGTCCTTGGATCTTTATAGAGTCGTAGGTAGGCTGCGGTTAGCGCGAGGGTGGATTTCCTCCGGCCTTAATAGGATAGGCGTTTTATGGAGGCGAAAGCTGTCACAAGCGGCATGACTGCGATGCCACGGCGATCTCGTGAGCATCGCTCTACCAAGAACGTTGAGACGATCCAAGAGGCATCTGACTCGCAATTAGATATCGCGTCAACTTCCAAGAATTCCAAGGCAGGTATTCTTAGTTCCTCAGATGCATTACTTCATCGCAAGGACCTTGGGGACAGTTCAAATTTGCGGAGGTCCTCCCGCGTATGTCGGTCATCTCAGATGTCCAAAGTAGCATTCAGTTCGAAGACCCTAGAAGCTCGGGCGAATGGCGCGAAAGTTCTTATGCATGGTGTTTCGGACATATCTCCTGCATCGTCGTCAGGTAAAACGCCTGCAGTAATTGGTGTCGCGAGCGAGGTGCTGAAGCTCTGGGTGAATGTTGAAGCCGGTCAGGGGGCCAGTAGTTTGGTTCAACCATCGCATGTCGCAAACTCTAATGAGACATCTACCCCTCTAGGGTCTGGCTGCACATCAGATGCAGCAGGGCAGCCCAATGGGAGGCCGTTGCGGGGAAGACCGCGCGGAAGGCATGTCACACCCGCCAAGAAGATCGCCAGGCGGGCAAAGCGTTTGCAGGAAGTCCCCTTATCAGAGAGCGATGGTCCAAGAATTCTGGGACGGAGAATTAAAATCTTTTGGCGTGACGAGAACAGGTGGTTTTATGGAGTAGTGAAAGCTTACAATAGGGGAAGGAGGTCTCACAAGATAGTGTATGACGATAAAGAAGAGGAGTGGGTAAAATTGCATGAAGAGATATTTAAGCTTCAGGTGTTAGAGGGGGAGGTGTTTGGCGAGCAGCAGCAAGCTGCTGCCGCTGCTGCACAGCCTGCGCAAGTAGCGTCCATCTTTGCGAAGAATGTTAGCTCTATAGAAAAGGGGAGGAATATGAATCACCAGGAGTTTTCAAGCGGCGAAATTGCTGGTTCGGCGAACGGGGGAATCCAGGCTTCTGCATTGACAAACAGTACTCATGTTCCACCCAGCCTTCTGCAAGGAAGTGAGAGCAGCTTGGAATTGCCGGGGGTTCGCTTTGATGGGGAGTTCCGTGACCAAGGCTCGAGCATTAGGGATGACGCCTTCAATACGCGAGCAATTCAGGAATCTGAAGATGCTCTCCCGATGGTGTGTGAAAACGTAGACCCTGAAGACCCTTATGCAATTGACCACACGAGTATTTCAGACTCTTTGGTTATGTTTATGAGATCCAAGCAGAATCTTGCAGAGTCAAGGAAGGTTCCGGCAACGAGTGGTGTGATGCCTCCTTCGCAACCTGCAGCTGTGGGTGCAAGCTCAATAGAGGTATTTTCTAGCGTGGAACCAGTCGTAGGTAATGAGGTGAAGGGTCATTTAGAGACTTCTGATGTTTCGCCTCCTTCTCCTGATGCAACTGAAATTCTCGCTGATCATTTGTCATCTGAGGGATGCACAACTGAGGAAAGACGAGCGCCTGAAGGGATCTTCTTTGAGGATGAGAAGAGTTCTTTTGATTCTGAGTCACTTGATAGCGCGAAGGGTGGAGACGTAGATTCAACTCCCGAATCTGTGAAGCAAAACTTGCTGGACGCATGTGAAAGTAGTGAAGTCGGCGGAGTTCCTGGGACTGGCCAAGGGAGGGGTGTATGTGAGTCTGGCGAGAACTTCGGGCTAAGTAATGTAGCTTTGAGTTCTACGGATTTGGTGGTGTGCGTTAGGGGCAAGGAGAAACGTGTGAGTCTTGAGAGCAGAGAGAACCACGGGCAGAATCCCTGTAGTGATATTGTGGAAATCGGGAACCGAGTGGCCGAGTGCTTTGTTTGTAGAGAAGTTGGTGTATACTTGGGGGGTAGTGCTTCCATGAAGGGCCCGGCGTCAAAGATCAAGTCAGTGCCTAAGTTTTTAGTTGGAAATAATTTCTGCGACATCAGGCAGCTGCGGTCGACGCGGTTGTTAAGAAATGAGCGGTTCATTTCGCGGTACATTGGGACAAATTTGGTCAATGTAGATTGCACAATAGCCAGGCACCACCTTCCATCATGGTGGTCTGATTTAGGAAATGTTTGGAGAATTGTTCCTTACTTGACGCTTTTTGTAGCCGTGGTATTGGAGAGTGGGTGTTCACAAGAAAATCCTTGTGCTGCTGAGTTTGGGATGAAAGGTCCGTCGTCGACAAGGGGTTCACTATCAGTATTCAACATCGGCCATACATGTTTCTCTCCTAGTTTAGGAACTGCGAAGCTTGTACTTAATGGAGCTCGCACTTCCTTGAATGGCTCTAATGGTCGGCTGCTGCTGCAGCAAGACCATGATTTAGAGGTATTGAGAGGACACGTTGAGGTAAATCGTTCGTCTTCTGAGTCGCTTTGTGCAAAAGGTGTTACATTTTTTGCACAACCTTGCGAACCAGCGTTGGTTGAGCAGCCGTGTGATCCAGTGCTCGTTGACCAGGCTTGCGAGCCGATGCTAGTTGAGCGGGCAGCCTTGTCTGTTGTTCGCCCAGTTCTTGAGGACTTAGATCGTGGAGGTGAAAGGAGTCATCAAGAGGGGTTTATAGAAATAAACGATGGCAGCTTTCCACGCAATGATGAAGTGGTTGCCTTTGAATCTCACCCAGCAGCACCTCGTACATATTGTGCTGAGGTAAGATTTTATTCCGTTGTTACTGGTTCATGACCTTGATGATGTATTCCGGCCTGAACACGTCGTCCGAGTCTGTCGCCCTCAGGAGATGTGTCTTCTGTATGAAGCCATGATAAGTTTGTTGCTGGCGGGTTTCTTACATGTTCATTTTTCTGCAGAATGACGCCAGGGACACGATAGTGGGAGTGGAAGCTGGAAGTGCGGGGGGGCTTACTGAAGTACAAATTGGTATTGCTGTGGATGGTGAAGAGGATAGCACTATTGCTTGCTGGAGGTATTTGATAGTTTCTTTTAATTGTTTCTAAACTTTACTTAGCTCAAAACATCATTTATGCCCCTTTTTGATTGAGAATCTACTGTGTGCTGTACGTATTGTATACGTTGGATGCCTAAGCATGGTCTTTGTGCTAGTGGCGTTCGAGAGTTGCTTCTCGGAATCCTTGGTTCATTTGTCATGTGTTTGAGGTGGGGGAGAGTGTAAAAATTGTCTTCAGCTCGCGTTCAGTGCACAGATCTAGTGACAACGCTAAAGACGTTGGCTACAATCGAATTATGTGTTTCGCAGGAGTTGGGCGTCTGTGAAACGGGGCTTCTCGCAAATTACACCGGATGAAATGAGAAGCTATGGCTTAGGGACCGTGAGTAGGCTGCTTGACAGCGAACTAGGGTCAATTGCACTTACCAAACGGCAGAAGGTTCATGTGGAAAGTTTGAGCAGCACTGACTTCGAGAATGGGAATGATGACGGGACGAAGAATACGTTACTGGTGGGGTGTGAGACGAATGGTGATATGAACATTAGGAGTGTGGAAACGAAAGACTCTGATTCGGTACTTCCTCGAGTGAATGTATTGAAACTTAGGAAATGTTCCACCGGTAAGGGTGGCTGGCGTATAGCTGGGAATTCCTGCGTGGCAGATCGTACCGTCAGGCAGTCTGGTGACGGTGGTGAACCTATGACTCCCTCCTCCACTGCTGACAGGAAAAGGCCTTTTAGTCAATGTTCTGAGTTCAATCAATTAGAGAGTCCGGAGGAGAATGGCCATCCTGGGCCCTTTATCAAAGGATCCCATACCAATGGGCAAGATACGTTTCATGCGGATGGAGCAAATGAAGTGAAAGTGCCGGTAAAGGGAATGTGGTCAAACTGTGAAGTCTCTTCGATAAATGATGCGTCCTTCAATTCCAGGAAGCGTTTCAAGAATGGATCTACTAATTCCGGTTCCAGCGATGATTCGTATGCACCTCATTTCAGAGCAGAAGAGACGTGTCGCAGCAGGAATTCAACCGAGCACGTGTATCCAGATTCTGTGTGTCACGGATGCATAGCAAATGTTCTCGTTGTGCAAAACGACAGAGGTTGGCGAGAATATGGAGCCAGCATTGAGCTTCAGTCTTGTCACGGTCAAGGTTGGATGTTGATCATCTCTGTTAGAGGAGAAAACATGTACGCGTATAAAGCGGAGCAGGCTATCGTAACTGGAACTACAAACCGACATAATCATGCCATAGTTTGGAAAGGTGGGAAGGGTTGGAATTTGGAGTTCGAAGACAAGAAGCAGTGGCAGGTGTTTAAAGAATTGCATGAAGAGTGTTACAGGCGGAATTCTAAAGCATCTTCTGGACGTCAGATCCCGATTCCGGGCGTGAGGCACATTGAGGACATCGCACCTAGGAGCCCAGGTTGTCATTTCATGCGACCAAACTCTAGATACATCTGTAGAGTGGAAGATGAGGTAGAGATGGCTTTAGGAAATAGCAGAGTGATGTACGATATGGATTCCGAGGATGAGCAGTGGCTAGAGCAAATCAACACCGAAAGGGCAAATGCACGAGGAACTCTTGCGCGTCCGCTGATCGCGGAAGAAACTTTGGAGAGGCTTCTGGACAAGCTGGAGAAAGAGGCATACCTGTATCAGCAGGAACATAAGGATATGAACTTGGATCCTAGTGATGTTGCAGCAGAATCCTGCAATGGCCTAGCTACACAAGAGGTGATCAAGGTCATCTATAGTTACTGGCTGGATAAGCGAACCCGGAAAGGCACGCCTTTAGTTCGCCAGTTTCAGGTAAGCTTTCAAGGTTATAAATATGAAGTAAACGTTTTAAATTTCTTGGTTGTGGGAGAGGAGCCTTGCAGCAGGAAATAAAGATGTGCATGATTGTTGGGTGCTTCAGTATGTATAATTCGACTGAATACTTTCAAAAAGTTTCTAACATACTAGTTTCTCTTTTCAGCCTCCAGCGTGGGTGCTATATCAGAAACAGCTGCAACAATGGGAGCAGGAGATAGCAAGGCTGCAGCTACAGCACCCCTCCGCGAGCATGCAGCAGTTGACTGAGGATAAGAAAAAGCCGCCCTTGTTTGCTTTCTGCTTGCGACCTCGGGGACTCGAAGCACAGCATAAGCTATCTAAGCAGAAGTCGCACAGAAAGCAAGCTTTACCTGGGACTGCACCTCGGCAATGGGTTGGATTTGGTAGCATGGATGGTTCATTGCATAGCCCTCGTGGGAGGCAATATTATACGGAGCCAGCACATGGGTTGCTTCCTGGTACTTTTCCCTTTTCCTTTTCGTTTTCTGTCTTTTTTACCAATCGATTAGGAGTAGATTCAGTTGTGCCTAGTCATGGCAGTTTAGATGTTTATTTGATCCACGCAGTGCTTTTCTGTGCGATTGCCTCAAAGTAAAACTGTAACAACCATCTTGGAGGCACCTCTATTTCCTCTGGGTCTTCACAACTAAAACTTTTTTTCTTCTTGTAAGCATGGGTTCTACAGAAACAAGTCGTTCATGTGGAACTAGGTGAATGGTTGTGAATAGGTAGCTATCACAAATTCTACGCAAGTTCTACTGTTTCTGAAGTATTGTTTCTGGTTTTGCTTCAGCTCCAAGAAGACCTGGCCGTCCACGCCTAACGGAAGAAGTGGGAGCGAACTTAAATGGCTCCTTCAATGCTATTATGAGAGAACCGGCTACCCTTTCAGGAGCGATGTCATCCATGCAGCTCCGAAATGAAGCCTTTAATGAATATGCTCATAGAAGAGCTGGGAAGAACAAAAAGGTTGGCCGCAAAGCTCGTCGCCAGCGGCTATTAGCCGCTGCTCAAGAGTCTCGGCGCAAACGTTTGCTTATGCGCAGTGTGGGTTCAGGGGAATTACACCGGCAACCAGACTTGGCTCTGGCTGCAGCAAGAGCGCGTAGCACTGCAGAAGCTGCTCGAGCACGGGCTCAAGCACTTTATGCAGTAGCGGATGCAGCCATGCACAAGGCTGTTGCAGCAGTTATAGCTGCAGATGCTTTGCATGCAGCAGAGCTTCATGAGAATACAGAAGAAGAGGAACTACCATCAAAGAACCGCAACTTGGCAGTAGTACCGACTTATGGTTCCTGGCGTCGAGCAGTTCCAGGTTCTGTTTTGGGAGGTTTGGGCGCAAAGGGAATCGTCAACCGACAAGTACTAGAAAGTGATGGGGAGGACGCGCTCCTGCCCGTTGCAAGCTGGAGTCAAGAGTTGGGTGCGGGTCTTGGTACAAGGTTGTTGAACAAGGATGCCCGGGTGGAAGATATTATCAGCACGCGGAGTGTGCACGCAAGGAGCCCTTCTATTAATGTAGGGTTGGGTAGGACTAGAGGAGAGAGCACGGTGGCCATGCTGACTAGGTAGTGTGATTGGCTAGGTGACAATTTTGTTCACTGACTAATTAGGCAGCAGCGAAAATGCGAGGTGGGAATGAAACGTAATGATGGAATGACAATTATGGACCTTTCGTTGTTTGTAGCTGAAGCTGTATTGTAACATGTTGTACAGGACTGCAGGTTTATTTATTGCCGCTCTGGGTTTCAGTTGTGCTTCAGGGAGGAAACTCTTTTATGATCGTCAACCGCTCTGCTGCCCCTTGGGAATGAAATGTATGCATGCATGTCAAGTAGTTCAGCTTGTACTTAAGTAGTTCTTCATCCTCGGTTGATAGGGTGAAGTTGCTTATCAATGGTTATTCCCTGATCTTAGGCAAATCTAGTGTGTAGTGAATTGAGCTATGAAACAGAAGTTTTTCCTGTTAGACTTATGCGTGATGGATTACATGCAATTTCTACATCTTAAATCCAGCATGGTATGCATTGGCGAAAAGCTTTCGAGAAAGAATTCGATAACAAATCTTCTGCCTGAACCATTATACTTGCAAGTACACGCCACTTGGGCAACTTTCAGGTTAACTGAGCTGACTAAGCTTGTGATTTGTCCCCCCTGAGTTGCTATGTACAGGTTTCTATACTGATTTCTACAATCCCACAATTAAGATTGGCAATGTGCTTTGAATGCTTGATGTATCTTTCTTTTCTTGACAATTTTCCTTGTTGCAAAAGGAATATTTCTATGCTTTGGATTACAAAAACATTGTTATTTCCATTTTTAAAATCATTTTTACATGCAAAACATAGAACTGAAGTTGATTAATGGTGAGATTACTTGATGTATGCCAAAGGTTTGCATTTTAGATTATAATGTAGAAGATTCTGGTAATTAAAATTTTTAAACCTTTAATATGTAGTTATAAAAGCACTAAATAAATTTTGTTTGATTTTAATTCACAAAATTTAATTCAACAACATATTTTATTATAGTGTTGTAATGTGTATATATATATATATATATATATATATACATTTCTCTCTTAAAGAGAATATTAAATAAACCTAGGTATTTACTAAATTGATCCATCCATTCTAACCATCATGAAAAAAAACAAATAACCTCTAGATTCATTTCTTTACTATTGGATCCAAAATCAATGAAAATCAACCACATTCATCACGATCACCATACTCTTCATCATAGATAGGTCAATTTAGAAAAAATCTATATCTATTTAATATTTCTTTATACTAATATTAGTTTTTTTTAGTTTAGTTAAGTAAAATTTTAGTTTAGTTAAGTTAAGTTTTTTTCGTTTTTTGTTTTTTGTTTTTTTAAAGTATTCTACTTTTAAATCTTATTTTTATTCTTTTTGTAAAATATTTCAATTTGTAATAAAAATCAAGCAAGATTGAAAATAACTTCACATGTTTCAAAGTTAATAAATAAATTAAAGATACAACATAGTTTTAAATACTTATATAAATACTAATTTTGCAGTATATATATCTTTAGAAAAATCTCAAATAGACCCAAGTTTTTACTAAATTGACCGCCTTATGATGAAGAGTATGGTATTCATGATGAATATGGTTGGTTTTAATTGGTTTTAGATCCAATAGTAAAGAAATAAATCTAAAGGTCTTCTTTTTTCTTCATAATGGGTAGATCAATTTAGGAAAAGCTTGGATCAATTTAACACACTTATTTATAAAACATAAAAAAGAATAGTGTGTGTTATTTTGAATTAATAAAATAAGTGTACAAACAAATTGTAACAATTTTAAGGATTTTCTATTATTAATCATTGATTCTAATCAAAACATCAAGTTTATATACATTACCAAACCATTAACATTTGTAAATTTATTAATTTGATATCTATTTTTTTCATATTCATGATTTTTATTAAATATTTGATTTAAACATTTGATTATTTGAATATATTTAATACATTTAAGTTCTTAACTTGATTTTTGATTTTTGATAAATTCGAGTGTACTTATTAAGTTATTTATAAGAGAAAGAAAAAGAGTAAATCAAAATTAAATTATATATATATATATTTTATGTTTAGTTATACTTCTTATACATTTGGATATGATTTTCATACATTTCTTCTCATTTTCAAAAATCATTTAAAGTAGTTAACTAAAGATTGTGTTATCATAGCTTGTAAGGCTTTTTGTTAAATACTATGTTATATTAATTAATGAAATAGTATGACAATTTTTAAATAATTAGATAAAAAGTTAAAAATAAATTATTATTGTTGATGTTCAATATCAAAGATAATTTCTTCTTTATTAATTAACTAAAATTATTTAAAAATAAGATTTTAGCATAAATTTGTATCTTTATGTGCTTTTTATTTTACTTTATTTTAAAATTATATATATATATATATATATATATATATATATATATATATATATATAAATCTTTGATCTATTCAAGTTTAAATTCATAAAATCTAATTAAGAAATTAAAAAAACTGTTCATATGTATATTTATTATTATTACAATGATATAGTTGTATATATCCTTAGAGATGCTTTCATTATTACTCAAAATTCAAATTTTGAATATAGAATAACAAAAATAGAAAAGAATTGAGTCAAAATACCTATAAGTTTAATTTGAAAATAAATCATGGTTTATTAATTAGACATTTAAATTATTTAATAATCAATTAAATTAAAATAGTATTGATATATATATATATATATATATATATATATATATATATCAAGGACAAGAACTCGATGAAAAAGCAATTCAGACAAGTGAGCCTTCATTCAAAGAAATGTAACAAAATATAAATAAATAAGTATGTATATTAAAAGAGAAATTGGAATGGCTATTGCCAAAAGACAAGAAAACTAGAGACCCTTGAAACTAGACTGGAAGCAAGAAAGGAGTTGACAAGAGTGAAGAAGACTTCACTCTTGTCTCTATATATACTATCTAACTAGGGGTTATGTGGCGACGTTCTATAGGACCTTCAATATGTGTTGACTTTGTAGGATACATGCCTTGACTTACAAGGCAAGTTTTTCTACGTGTAGGCCACATAGTTAGTTTGGTCTTCAAGCTAACAACATGTGTGGCACATGGCTAACTTGTTGATCATGTTTCTAATCCAAAAAGTCAATTAAAGACACCTATGAAGTCAAAGCAGCATCTATAAAGCTTCTAAGAAGCTTCTATATCAAATACTATAGAATTAACTTACTTTTATCTACTTTTACTTACTTCTATCTATTTGTATATGTAATTACTAACTTACATGAGTATGTCCATGACATTACCCCCCTTTGTAGGGACGAGTTCCACGAGAAGTGGTCATCATATGTTGAAGAAATCTATGATGCGACAAATTGTATTTGCCACATACTCTGATCTTTGTTCTCTTCGAAGATGATTAATAGGGCCTTTCAACCATCGGTAGTGTCACATACCAGGGCGGGAAGACCACCCAATTATTTGATCATTGTTGAGGCCTTCATAACTTCCTTCGAATAGAACATTTGGAACACTATCAAGAGTTGTTCCTACCTCTAGCAAAATCACCAAACATCGGGAGTCCGTTTCCAAGTCGTGATACCAAACGTGTTGTATCTCGCCATCTATTCAAGGAAGAATATGTTGTTCTTGAAGATCTTCATCTCGATTGCATTGTCTTGAAGGTTGTGACAATCATAATGTCTCATCCGGCAGGTCAGCAAATGAAGGCTCTTGAGTCGAATCCGTTGGTTGTTGGGTCTCCATCTCCTGAGCGTCACAACTACAAAGAAGCTACAAACAAGGATTGAAAGTAGAATGTTATCTTGCCTAGATGTTGTTTCTTTTATAAAGAAGGTTTTTATCTTGATTTTGATGGATGTTGTCAATAAAAAGCCTCCACCGCCTTTGCTGTATTTGCAAGATTCTTTACTGGCTTCCATGGGCGTTCACTAATATCATATCCGCGCGAATGGACAAGATATTCCAATTTATTTTGGCACCGCCTTGAATCTAAGACTTCTTCTACTTCAAACTCTTCATTATTGTCCACTTCTATAGGAGGAGGTGGAGCTTGTCGTCTTTTTGGTATGTCCATTGTCTTGTATGGTTCAAGAAGAGACAAGTGGAATATTGGATGGATTTTCATTGACTCTAGTAGATGTAAACGATATGCAACTGGATTGATTTGTGTAGAAATTGAAAATGGTCTAAGCCTTCAATAGTCCAACTTGTCACAAGGACGAGTGGTCTTCATATTGTGACGAAGTAGCCATACCTTATCACCCAAGTAGAATGGTGGTTGTTCCTTTCGATAGACATCCGCATTGACCTTTTGTTGTTCTTGAGCTTCTTTTAACTACGCCTTCATCGTTGCATGTAGCTCTGACAAATGAATCGCCAAATCTTTTGCAACAAGATTATCAACTTTTGAAAAGTCAAAAGTATCAAGTTGTGGATGGTAAGCATAATTAGTAAAGAAAGGTATTTATTTTATAGAAGAATGTACCATGTTATTGTAAGCAAACTCTGCCAATGGCAAAAGAGTTATCCAATCATCTTGTTAGTAGTTAATGGTACATCTTAAATATTGCTCCAAAACTTGATTAATACGCTCCGTTTGTCCATCAGTTTGAGGATGGAATGCCGAAGATAGTTTTATATCTACTTTTAGAATCTTGAAAAGAGTCCACCAAAATCTTGATACAAACTGAGTTCTCTTATCTGATATAATATCCTTGGGTAATCCATGATAGCGATAGATATTGTCAAGAAAGAGCTTAGCTTTTTCTTCACCTGTGATAGATTTTGTACATGGTACAAAATGTGCCATCTTGGTAAAACGATTTATTATCACGAATATAGAGTCATAAGAACCTGAGATTAGAAGATCCGTGATGAAGTCCATAAAAACAGAAGACCATGATTGTTCTGGAATGGGTAATGGCTGAAGAAGTCCAAAAGGTCGATGATGAGGAGTTTTTGATTTTGAGCAAACATCACATGATTGTACAAAATCTTTCATTGTCTTCCACATTTGAGGCCACCAAAAATCCCTAGATATCAGCTCCAAAGTCTTATTATATCCAAAATTTCTTATTGTTGGGAAGTCATGATGAGCTTGAAGAATACATAAATGTGCTTCTCCTTCTGGAACATATAGGCATCCTTCGAAATAGAGTAGATTGCTCTTGAATTCGAATTTAGATGGATCATGAGATTTAGAAGAATTATTCTTGATAT